TTTTTTTTTATGCACTCTGCAACCGCTTAATGTATACTCTAATTAACAACATTTCGCCCCCAAATTATCAGCATTAATTGGGAGCCGTTCAATGGGAGCAAGAGTGGGGACCACCGCTGATGGAAAGTCAATGGGTGGAGTTGAATGAAATGGAAGCCCCGAGGCAGCCCATGTCAGCTGTGATATTTCGTTTCCGCCAGGAGGAGAGGACAATCAACCTCAACCATAATGACACGTGAACTTGAACCCGTTTGGGGGAATACTCTTCCTAAAGGAAGTCACGTCGAGCGGGGTCGTCGAGGCTGTATATTTCACGATGGACAAAAAGATCTCAAATATTACCAGCAAATGCAGTTTGTAAACCCCCTCCATTAAATCTGACTTTTAAATTTAATGATTCATCACAAATTTTAAGTATTTGGGTGAAATAGTTAGAGTTTCGAGTTCTACCACCGTTGTGAATATCGACCTGATGACCACGCGCTTTATTTAAAGGGTGAAATGTTCACTCGATTTTGATCTGAAGATTGAATTTTCAATTGTTAACAATTAATTCATACTAACTTCCTAACCATTACCTTGACAAAAAAAATAAAAAAAAAAGTAAACCCCCTCCATTTGTAACATTTTGTCCATAGTTGTATGGTTAACGCAGTTAAGAAATGGTAGATGATTACCATATCCTCCAAGTTTTCTCCACAAACATAGCAAAAGAGTTCAGCTACATTCGTGATAATGTCCCCTCTTGAACAGATTAGTTCCAGACTTTTAGTAGCTACCTTATCAAGGATTAACAGCCAATTGAAGCCATACATATATATATATATATATATACTTTGGTTGGAATGAACTGGTTCCAGATTCTTTTGAATACATGCTTAGAAGTCACAACTTACGGAGATGCTAGGAGGAAGTACCCTGAACTTGTCGAACAGCCACCATCCTTGCCATTTTTGCATAAAAAATTTACTTGGTTTTTATTAATATGTAAGAACATTTGTCGCCAAATTGTTCTTCGCACGATTACATCCGTTAATTTTTAGAAATGGGTTAAGATTTGGGTTCTCCTTTTTACGCTTATATCTATATATATATATATATATACGCCCTCATTTTATTTCCTAGTACAGACAAAAGCATTCTTTAATCTGCACATTAATAGTCCATGGCATCCATATTGCAAACTCTTCTTGCTCTCTTACGGCCGTTATTTTCGTTTTTGATCAAATCAATGTTTCGACCATCATTACTATCTGTGAAGATTCTCAAAACAAGCAATTACAGATCTTCGATTTTGAAGAATGGCTGGTTACCAAGTTAAAAAAAGTAGAGGTCGACCAAGCACCGGACGAGGCCCAAAACAAGCAACCTCCTTCAAAATTGATTAACGTAAGATTTTCATACTTAGCACTATTAATGTTCAATTTTGAAGATTACACGGTTACAAAGGCAAAAAGGGTCAACCAAGCACTAGAGGAGGCAGTACCCTTGCAATATGCATTGAAAATTCATGAAGCAATGAGATACTCACTCCTTGAAGGGGGCAAGTATGTCCGGTCCATTGTCTGTATTGCTTGTTGTGAATTAGTGGGAGGGGAGGAGGCCTTGGCAATGCCGATCGCCTGCACAGTAGAGATGATACACACAGCATCACTCATCCATGATGACCTTCCTTGCATGGACAATGATGATCTAAGGCGAGGCAAGCCGACCAACCACATACTTTTCGGTGAGGGCATTGCGGTTCTTGCAGGGGGTGGTCTTCTCTGCCTTGCATTCGAGCACGTAGTGTCTAAGACAGTGAGTTTTTCGTCAGAAAGAGTGGTTCGAGCCATTGCGGAGCTAAGCTCGGTGGTAGCCGGTTGGGTAAAAAGGGTTGGTGGCAGGGCAGATGATGGATCTTTAGAGTTAGGGGAAACAGGTAAGCTTGAAGGAGTTGGAGTAAATTCATGTGCACAAGACTGCGAAGCTCTTAGAGGCATCGGCTGTTTGTGGGGCTACAATAGGAGGAGGAAGTGATGAAGATGTAGAGAGGGTAAGGATATATGCTAGGCGTATAGGGCTGTTGTTTCAGGTTGTGGATGACATTGTAGATGTCACCATGTCGTCGGAAGTGTTGGGGAAGACAGCCGGGAAGGACTTGGTGAGTTATATGGCCACTGATCCAAAGTTGATGGGTGTCAATAATGCCAAGAAGTTTGCCGGTGAACTGGTGGCTCAGGCCATTGAAGAACTTACCTGTTTTGATGCCGCCAAGGCTGCTCCCTTGTACCGTTTAGCAAAATTTATCGCTAATCGAGATAATTAGTATACATTCTAAAAGGGAAGACCATGTTCTCTATAATTTTCACTTGTGTTGTAGTTATGATCTCTTGATTGTATTTATTTTTCAAAGGAAACATATGAAAATAATGCAATTGCTATTATGAGATGTAGTACCAGATTCGGCACTCTTAATCCCACAAGATTCTGTATATATATTTAATTATTCTCTACTCTACTTTAGGCTTAAGTTTTGGTGTCAGTAATTTGGCATCACATGAAAATAAATGTTATGCAAGTTGAGAACAGAAGCAAGTAAAAGACATTAGATTTCATGAGTTACTAGGTGCACTTAATATTTTGATAATAATTAAAATTTAAATTATGATACTATTATATTATAATTCTTTATCCTTTATTCCCAAATTATACTTGTTTAAAAACAAAAAAATAAAGCAAGAAAATCAAAGAACTAGCAGTCAAAAAAAAAAAAAAGAAAAAAGAAAAAAGAAAGAAAGAAAGAACAGAATCCCAAGATTTAACTCGCCTCATTGACACATAGAGGTTGGCTACTATATAATCATTAATCACACACACATATAGGCATCCTAACCAGATGAGTTAAAATGAATTTTTGTTGCAAGCGATGATTCTGGACGGAGGATGCCAGAGGCAAATCGTTCAAAGAACTAGCAGTCAAAATCGTGGTTGTCACTTGTCCTCCACAAGAAGACGGTGTATTTTAGAGAAGAGGTAGAGCCAGACTTTTTGAGAAAAACCAGGTGCCTAGTAACTTAGATTGTGCATTTGGGCTTGGGGCCTAGCTGTTGTGTAATTTTAATTTACGGTGGAGATAGGAGATATTCGGCCTCAAAAGGAATTGGGTTTGTCTAGTTCATGGGCTAGGTTCACTCAGCTCCTTGCAGCGAGTTGGTCCACTTTGATGGAATGTATTGTCCCGTATTATTTTTTGTATATGGCCCATCTCTTTTTTATTTTTTGAACAATTCTGCAAAGGTTAAATTCGAATCATTGTCCAGAGAAGGGGATCCACTTAAATGTGGCTTAACGTCATTGGGCCCAAAGGCCCAAGTGCGTATATGGCCCATCTCTTGTTTGTAATGTTGGCCCAGTATGTTATTGGATATACATACACAATTGCTAATGGGAAGTTTTTCTGAGAGTTTCTCCTCAATCACTTTCATTTCGTGATCGTCTTCCTCTGCCTACACAATCCTAGTCAAAGTCGGACTTGACTGGATTAACTAATTAAATTTTATCTGAAGAATCATAGTCAATGTTGGGGTTGATAGTATTGTTTTAAGCTATCAGATTTTTTTTTTTTTTGGAACCGGGCCTTTAAGCTAATAGTTCGATCCCAAACCTTAAGTGCTTAGGTGAGGTGGTCAGAGTTTTGAGTTTTATCATCGTTATGAACTCCACCAAAAGCGACCCGATGGCCGCGTGCCTCATTTGAGGATGTGAAATGTTCACCCAATCTGGAGATCGAATCCC